AGCCGAAATTACACCCATTGCCACCTCAGCTTCTGCTATACCTGGGTTATCTTTCTCCAATTACCCAGATGACTGTATTTGGAGGGGCAAGCATGAGGGTTTTTTTCTGGATCTGTGCCTCCCACTTGGAAAAAAACCACCCTTAACTCACATTGCATAGTTTTTACTTCTGGTTTAAGTTACAGCTGATTCACATGAGGGGAAATGGTGCAATGGCATCCACGGGTGATGACAGCTGGCAATCTATCTCAGCTGGATATAGTACAGTACAGCAAAGGAGACTTTGGGTCAGTTTAGCAAGGTGGTGATTAGCGAGGTAACTCAGAGCAATGCAGCGGGCTACTTTGGGAGCCTTGCATCACAGTCAGCACAATTACCCCATTGTTATTTTCCTAGCCAACGTAAATCCTAAACAGAGGCAGATGCGAGATCTGTAACCTTTATGGTACATTTAACTACAGCTCGAGTGGATGATCACATTTCAAAGATACAACCAGTTCCAGTTGAGGGTGCTTTGCTTAGGATGCACTACTTCCTTGTAGGAAATCAAGCTAGTGTTTCCCCACCACTCATCATCACAAGAAGACAAGACTGTCCTTCAAAATGATGATCTTTTGCTGCTTGTGAACAGTAACTAGAACAATTATTACCCACAGCAAGAGGAGACAGACTTGATGCAAGGAAAAAGGGTGGTGTCAAGAGCCAAATTTGTTCAGATAAACAAAGTTTGTAAACAGAGAAAGAAAACATCTTTCACAGGGTTTTCACTACTAGAATTGATTGGAGTATTTTCCTTTGGCTCCAGTGGGTTTTCTGGTGAGCCCTTATGTATATCAACTTTTCAAAGAGTTTCCATATTTGCTCCCTAGGAATTCACAAAGTGTCCTCTAGAAACACCTTTTTCTAATTGAGTTAATTCAAAAAAGGTCTTTGTTGGTAGGAGCAACCCATATAACAATATTGGGTGCTTTGATATTGAAAGCAAAAGAATGCAGAAGAATTTCAGATGAGACTCAAATTCAAAGCATCCCTTATTAAAGTCCAGATAAATCAAATTCTAAGTCATAGATGCATTTTTTTTTTTTAAAAGAGGATGGGATTGAAAAAACCCTGAGAGAGTAGAATCATCTCTTTACTTTGCATTTTCTGCTCCACAGAGTCATCCTTCCCCTTGCACAAAGGGCTATAGCACTCGGTCTGCCCCACAGCCAGGAGAAGGTTTCGGCAACAGTGTCTCCAGCCATATCTGACCACGATGGCACCACCGGTCCCCAAAGGGCAGTGCATCCTGCAAGTTTGCTCAGCCTGTTTTAATAGCTGGAGAATTTCACCTGTTTTCCAACTGAATTCAGTCTCTGACTACACAAATCATGCCAGCTCAACATCTCAGCCTGATTTATAGACAGTTCTTCATACTGAAAAGAGAAGACAAGTGGAAAAGCAGCTGAACAAACAGCAGTCCTTAGGGATAACAAATGAGGCAGTGGGTTTGACTATAACTAATTGCATCCCTTGTCAACAAAAGCTCAGGAAAGCCTGTTGTCCCATGTGCGTGCACCCACCATGCTTCTGCATCACTAATTTTGACTTTCCCTCTTTTCAAATCACTGTCTTCTGTGTCAACCTCAGTCTGCTGCTGTTATTACTGATGCTGAAGGAATTCAATAGCCATTAACCACTAAACCTAGACTAGCGGGAGCCAACTGTTACCAATATAGCTATTTCCAAAAAGACAAACAGCACCAGCAGGCTGACAGATTTTAAGGGCTGTTTCTTGTGTTCTACAGCAAAGAACAAAGTATCTTGCCTGACAATTTGTTGTAGGTGGTTTTCATTAAATAATGATCACAAAGCCACTTAGCATTCAGCACAAACATGTATCTGACTGCACACTCAAACTTACCTGTAGATCAAATCAGGACTTCAGTGTTAGACCTAGGAAGAGGTACCCAGTGTCCCCTTCTTTACAGAGTTCATAATTTCACTTTCTCCCATTGTAACTCTTTGACCTGAAGGGCTTTTTTCTTTTTTTCCCCCCAGCACTTGGTCTCTCATAGGCAACACAAATAGGAACAGAAGGGAGTCATGGTTTGTCCCAGCAAACTTGCTGTGTAGACACCCAATGCAAAATACCAGCAAGTACTTCACATACAGTGATTTGAAGCACAGAATGTTTGGTGGTTTACCCAAGATCAGCCTGACTGAATCAGTGGCTGAACTGCAAAACAGAGTGTAGACCATCCAGTTTTCAGGAGATGCTTTTACTAATCTCTGCAAACAGGTTTGCTAGATAAAGCAAACTTCTGTTGACCATCCTATATTGGCTTCTGCTTGGACATAGTCATTGTGCTAAAAAAATTTCAAGAAAAGGTCTCATTATGGGACTACTATAAAAATTAATATTCACCCAGAAATAAGAAGATTACTCCATGGCTGTGAATATATCACCCCGAAAACACATCAAAATCTAGCAACCATGCTAAAAGCAATGCTTTCCTCTCTTGATAGAGAACATTTCCAGTCAAATTTGGCTCCATTACATCAATTCTGCATGGCTTTTGGACACACAACCCAGCAAGCATCACAAAGCTTTTACTGACAGTTCTCTCAAAAATCCACTCATCTAGCAAGGTGTTGGCCATAGTTGGAATGCTGATTGTCAGATAATTGGGATTTGCATTTTTATCTCCTTTTATTTTTCAAGACCTTGATCACTATGCCACAGCACTAAGTTGTCATTAGCAGTTGATACAGCTCCTCTTCTAGCTGGGAAGCCTTCAGCAGTGGACCAGACTGTAGAAGAGAAGATAAACCCTCAGTGCTACAGGGAGAAGTGGGTTGCACACACTAGAGAGATACTCAAAGGTGTACAAAAATAACTCCTGCAAAGGAGTTACTACAATAAAATATCACTGCTTCAACAGGTAGTGTGTTTGTTAACTGCAGAAAAAGAGGCGAGTTTCAAACTACAGCTTTGGCTTATTGACCTTATAAAACGTTGCACATACCACCACTGTTTCCTTTCAACTTTTTAAGTCTACACAGAATAAACCTTGAAAGGAATCAGTTCAGATTTGTCCCTGGAGAAGTCAGATACTTCACTGTAACATCAGCCCAACTGCAGCACACCACCCCGCCGCAAAAGCACGTCACTGTCTGGAGATGGTGTCCTTAAATGGAGGAGATTTGCTAGCAATAAAAAGAACCAATGCTTTGAGGTTGCTAGTAGGCAGCTAGTCTTCAAAATAGTCACCTACAGGTTAGGAAAACACTGTAAAAAGAGACTTAGCCTTCTAGAAACGTCAAAGTGAATATCCAAGAAAATGAAGTTAGCAGTTTCTGCTATTTGACCAGTCCAGCCTGTTGCACCATGATAAATGTGTTAGACTTCAACCTCCAGAAGTGATGCAAGGAGCATTTTAAAGTGCATTTATAGTGGTATTCAGCAGGAATTAAAAGTACCTGCCCAGCTTTGATGCATTTGGAAATCAGGCTGAGAAACCCACAGGTGTTTTAGTGGGCAGACTCCTTCCTCCTTGATTAACTCCATCAAACAGCCCTGCCCTATTTGTTATCAGTTATATGCTGACAAGTCCAGCATCTGGAGAGTAAGAGCTTTTACAAATTAAATATATATATAGTATTGATTTTTAACTTAAGTGTTACCTTACATGTAACACCCTGAGCCTTGCTCTAAACAACTACCAAAAAGAATCAGCTGTCTCACAGTTGGGTGGCCTTCACGAGCTCATATGAGGCTGCATTTGGCAATTTTGGGAACACTCAAGAACAACATTGGTCTTTGACACAGGCTGTACCACACAGGCCAGCACAGCAGAAGCCACCAAGTCCCACACATTCTAAATCCTCTGGATTACACCACGAGCGGAGCCTGAAAAGGCCCAGGCCAGTGCAGCAGATGACACGTCCCCCAATATCTCACACTTACAGAAGCTCTTTGCTAAGCGTTAACTAAATGACAAACAAGCCTCGTACCACAACTTCTCCATCTTCCTTTTGTACCACTAGTCATAAAAGAAGAAAGTGACCTAAAAAAATGGCAAGAAAATATTAAAAATGGCCATATGACACACCGATCCTCCCTCTCTGACACATAGAGTCCGCTCCCCATTACAGATCAAAGGCACAACATGATACAGCTCAAAAGTCTTTCCAGGAAAATGTGAGAAAGCATTTTAAAATGCTTTTTTTTTTTTTTTAATTTTTATTCTTTTCAAGAAGTACTTACTGGCAGCTTTTTATGTCAAGACAAAAGCTCCGTTATAATCTTCAGTAAAAGCCAAATAATATTAAATTGATTAGCTCTAAAGTACAGCATATCACAGCCATGTGATTGCCAGGAGACATTTATTCAGATTAGCTCAACTGAACTCAAACTTCTAAATAGCATTTTTCATGTGCACATTCACTATCTTCCAATTTCACTTTAACGTCAACATGTAAATTTGCAATGCATTATTCGCATATGGCACTAGAGGTCTAATAACATCGCAAACTTCATAGTGCTTCCACTTCAGGGGTTTCGTAGAAAGAAATTGCCTAAAGTTACACATACACTGGAGTCCAGGATTAAGAGTACAAAGCATCAAGTAAATTAAATTACAGCCCTGAATCTGAAAGCTACTCTAGCAGAGAGACTGGATGCCAAGAAGATGCCTTCAGGAGCATCTTGGAGAGCAGTTCCACAAGGTGAGCGCTGGATGGGTCAGACACAGAATGATACTGCTTGCAATCCGTCACTATTTCTGCTTGGCATTAAAAAAAAAATCTCTACAAAACTGTACACCTGCCTTCCAACAAGAACTGTATCTACAAGCTTTATTTTTAAGCCGGACATATTGCAGACTGCCACTTCAAACTGTGCTCTTTTCGAACCCTTATATGCAATCCATGCACACACAAGATTTTGGTCACGTCTGGTACGCTTTTCCACCAATAACCTTTCTTGAGGGTAATTTTTCATGTTAGGACATTACTAATTAGAGGAGGAACAGTTAATTTTTTTTTTTTTATTTATTTCTGGAAAGTTTTTTCATCCTATGTTGGATATCAAAGCACAGTCCTTTCCCACTACGTTCAGGCCTAGAAAAAGAGGTAACGAGATTTTTTTATTTTTATGAACAGTGCTTATTAGTGTTTTTTCCTAACCAGTCTAAGTTACACATTCAGAGAACAGTAATGTAGTAAGACTACGTTTGGTCTATGGAATATTTGCTGAACTGCTAGCACCAAAGGGAGCAACTGAGCTGTATCCATGTCTTCTTAAATCTTGAAAATGTTGATATATGTAACTTTTTTTTTTAATTCCATGTTCATGAAAGTGCCTGTAGATGAGAGACATAACACTATTTCAAACACCAGAGTCCTCCATGAAGATGCATGGGCAGACGCTATGTACATGTACTAACAGCTCGCTTGCTGGCAGCCTGGAAGATTGCCAGCGTAGTCCAAGGTCAGTGTTCATTGTTGGTTATTTCTTAATTTTTTTATTTTAAAAAGGACCAAACACATTGTTCTATAAGAGAGATTTTGATCTCTTCAATATCTTCTGAGAGAGAGGCTGCTCTAGTCTCCCATAGAAGGAAATGCAACAGCTCATGTTCTGCATTACATGAAGCACTTGTGCAACTCTTCTTTCCCTAACCCTCTCCAGAGACTGCAAGAAAAATTAAATTTAAACCATGTTATATTCTGCTATGTCGCCATGTAGCTGGGGCCATCAGCCTGCCATGCTTCCAGGTCTGCAACCTGACTCAGGGTAAGTCAGATGGGTCAAAGTGGCAGGAATTCCTTTCAAGTAGATAAATCCCAGCAGAAAAAAAAAAAATCCTTTTGGCCCATGGCAGAAAGGGAAGTCACATGCCAGCTCTTCAATTAAAATTACAGCAAGTCAAGTAGCTGATACTTTTCCCCTCTCCTGGTAAGGGGGATGAGACATTGTTCACAAGGGTGTTCTGTCGTGCCTCGCTGATCAACCGGCAGGCCAAGTCCAGGAAGAGTTTTTCCACATTATCCGATTCTTTTGCTGAGGTTTCCAGATAGTACATGTCCTGTGCTTCGGAAAACTCTGCAGCTCTTTGCTGGGAGACTTCCCTCTTATCGGCTAAATCAATCTTATTACCTGCATTGATAAAATATTTTAGAAAAGGAATTAATTTGACTTCCAAACCAAGAGAAACAGAGGTTGATAAGGAATAAAGAGGAGTTTGGTGTTGTATATATGTATGGACAGTGATTTTGATGTGAAACTCTTAGTGCTTGCTCTCCCCTCCAAATAACAAATTCCCTGATACATGTGACCAGGTTCATTTAATATCAGCTTATTTAATGGAATATGCCCTGTGAACATCCAAGTCAGTTAGCTTTAATTTAGCACCAGTGCATCTGTTTGCTGCTATCAACCAACATTAAAGGATTTCCATTTTAATATCTATTGAAAATTCTCCTGTTCTTGCTCCGAGGAGCACTTAAAATGTCAATTATAGCATATGAGACACTAAATGTGATATTTCTTATGTCATTACAAGCTTTAAAAAGAAGCCTGGCACAGAAGGCAGCTTTCCTATTTCAATATTCACAGGAAGGATTTAGCTGTTGAGGCTGGAAGAGGGACAGGCTCAGGAGCACTTGCAGAGCGAGGTGGGGCGAGAAACCAGCCCCTTCCTTGGGAGAGCTCAGTTTAGCAGAGAGTTGATTAAAGCCTCAAGCAAGTGTCTGATAAGATTATACCCTATTACCAGCCACTTCACTTCAAACATGATGGTTTTGCCATAAATTAATCTCACAAAGAAGATTAACAGACCAGGACCTGCGATAACAGGGGGCTGTGTCTGGGGACCTGGCAGGTTCAGGAGGAAACATCTCCTGGCCTCGATTCTACCAGCAATTTTGTGAGAACTAGTGGAAGGAAAAGACTGCGCTTCCACTGGCAAGCTGCATCTCATTGCCCTCCTCTCATCTGAGATCCCCTTTCTTTCCTGACAAAGCAATTTCTTGGACCTGCTTTATACACTGAAGTTACCTTTCTAAACACATTATCACTCAACACAAGCAGTTTATGGATGTCACCATCTTCGAAGTGTGTGTTATGGCTGTTACCATTTATATTTTGTGCTGTAGATGCTGATAGTTAATGTTCCCTACAAAAAAATCATGTATACATTTGTTATTCATTAATTATTTCTGAACCATTTGTACACATGCCATACACTTCTCGTGGCATATAATGAGTTTGTTGTATGGGGGCTCTGTAAATCCCACAGCTCACTTGCAATACTGCTGGGGCATGTAAAGCTTAAAAGATTTTTAAAGCCACCTTAAACACATTTTACAACCCTCTATGTTTCTTCTCTTCAACAGCAAACTATTAAAGGTGATATCAACACTGCAGCATGAAACTGTCTGGCTTTCCCCAAGTTATTTTCCCATTGTTCTTTATATATTCTTGGGCCTCTAAAAGCCAAGTCCTGACTATCAGATGCTGAAAGCAGAGCATGGAAAAGCACAGGTAGGCAAAATAACCTTCACCTTGCTTGTAGCAGACAGATGGCCTGAGGTCTGCTTTAGCTTGGGTTGAAGCTCTACAGATTAACATAACATTCAATTATTTTAGTTTAGTTTCTCTAAAGTCCATGCAAAAACCATCCTGTTTTCCAGCTCTGTCCCACGTATGAACGCTGTGATCCACACAACCATCACATCCTGATCTGGTTCCCAGATCCTGACCCACTTGAGACAAGACTGGTTGTCCCACAGCTATGGGGTACAGCAACCCAGAGGCAACCCCAACTTGACCAGATCCTTCTATACTTGTAGAGATCCGAGCTGGGAATCACAAGGGCAACTGCTCTATTCTTAGCTCAGTTGGTAGCTGCACCATCAAACGCTTTAGTCCCATATGGGACCAACTGGTGGGAAGTATCCAGCTCTGCATGCCATAGCCTTAGACCTGAGACAGGACCACGCTTTGAGAAGTGCCTGTGGCGTCCCAAACATCACTATCAGCATCTCGGGGTTATCTGCAGAAGGAATGATGCAAGCACTGGGTTTAAGGCATCAGCTGCACCCTGCGGTTATAATTCTGGTTGGCAACAAGATCTGCCGCACCAGTTTGAGCATCCTGCACCACCAGTTCACAGAGATGCCACGTTCTCCTCCCGCTAACACCTCCATCTGCCACCAACCCCTCGACACATACAGCTCACCCCCTCATCACACCACCCCACTAGGGACGATCGTCACTTACCCACTAGCACGGTTATGACCTTATTGCTGGCATACTGCTCGATTTCTCGCAGCCACTCGGGGAGACAGCGGAAGGATTCTTCACAGGTGATGTCGTAGGTCAAGATTAACGCATTAGCGCTGCGATAGTAACTTTGCGTGATGGATCGGAATCGCTCTTGTCCTGCCGTGTCCCAGATCTGCAGCTTTTGGCATAACAAGGAAGGGCAGTAAAAGGAAAAAAAATTAACTTTTTTTATTTGATAGCAGCACTGTTTTGACCTAAAAAACCCACTTCAGGGTAAAACCAATGCTGGGAAAGCACTTAGGTCTTCTCTCCAATGCTGGGGAGGCTTTCCCTCCACCAGCATATTTTGTTTCTGTTCCTGCACTTGCGGATTGAAATGCAAGGCACAAAGTCAGCTGGCACTGCGGCCAACGGCCCCGGGAAGCCACAGGTCTGCAGGTTTTTGTGCTGGCCACACAGGTGCTGGAGGGACAAAGTCACTTCTCCTGGTCCTGTAGTCCAACAAACACCAGCATCCATCCCAAGAAGAAATAAGAAAGCCCCTCCTCTAGCTCCCAAAGCTAGTTATAGTATCCTGAGATGATGCACTAATGGGTGGAAACCACAGCAGTGAACAAGGAGCTCAGCTGAAGGCTGATCCAAGGACTCTATAAGAAGTTTCCTCTCTACAGCTTCAGCCATCTCACCCAGTTGCACGCTGCCTGCCTTCCCAACACGTAGAACTGGCTGACATGTCCTTAACTATATCAAAGAAGTCATAAGTGTGTGCCAAACTTTCTGGGTCCAGGAAGACAACATACATTTTCCAATACAAACTGAACTCATACTGTTCTCATAATTTGACCATCTGATAGTTTTTGGTGGGTCATCAAAACCTCAGTTCTTCAAAAAGGCAGTCAAAGAAACAAACATCCAAAATCAAACCACTTCAGCATAAAACAGTACTCCTCTACTTCAGCTTTTATTTTTTTAAAGCACCACTCCCTGGAATTAAATATGTGAAAGGGTGATTTCCAGCCAGAATCCTGTGTACTTTGGGAAGAAAAAGGTAAGGTATTTCAGATTTTTTCCATATATTCAGCAGCCTGTAACAGAGAAAACCTTATTCTTGCCAGTTCCAAAGTCAAACTACGCCAGCTACTCATCATAAATGTGTTAGTCTGAAATGAGAGCTCCCAGTAGAAGCTTTCAGACATGGGGTATGATTTTGAAAAAGTACATTTTTTGCAGAGAAAGTAATTTGTGGCTGGCTTACAGCTGCTGGGCACCTTTGTTCTTAATCTCTTGGCATAGTTGTATTTAAATGGCTATACCTGGCACCTGCAGTTAAGTGACACACAAAACCATAAGTGAAATTACTTGCACATGAAGTTCAGATAACAAATGAGTCCCCATTAAAACAAGCCAGCCTCCTAACTCTGGCAGATGGAAAAATACAGATAATTTTGTTGTTGCTCAGCTATTTCCCAGGAAAAGCATTTACCAGTTGGTCTCCTGGTTAACTCCAGCATATATGTTTTGCATTTATTGAGAAGATGTCCAAGCTGATAAAAAACTTGATGTGAATATGTTCTTCCACCACTTTAATGTAGCAGCCATTGAAAGCAAAAGGATTGCTCTGGGGGAGAGGGTTTCTTACTGGCTGCAGCTGTGAGTCTACCTGTGCAGACGGCAGGGGAGAGCCCCCAGCCTTACAGCCACTGACAAACCTCCTGCACACAAAATGCATGTCTCATTTCACTCCACTGATTATTTCTGCCAAATAGAGTATTTTACAGCAACCATTTTACTTGTATCATTTTATCAGAGGAACCAAAGGACGGTGCTTGACTCAGCCTGCAGAAAACCTAGATGTTTATTTTCTCAGAGCCAGCTGATACCTTCTGCTCTCCCAACATTTGCACATACATTTACCTTTATGCATATGAACATTTCCACCATGTACAATAAGACCACAGGTCCATATAGCACAGCCCTCTGCTTGCGGCACTGAGGATGCTTAGCTTTGACCAGCATGATAACTGCTACCTACTTGGATCAAATTTGTGTAGCCTCTTAGTGCAGGTGTTGTACATATTTTTGGTTTTATTAGAAAAGGCCAGGCAGATCAAAAGTCCCCTCAACTGCATAGTGCTGTCTCAGGTCATCTGTCAACGAGCTTTAGTAGCTGCTCATACCTGATACAGCTTGCACACAGCTTTCACACTAGCAAGTCCCTCTCCATTGACTTTCAAATGCAACTTTGAAAGCTGGAAAGTATTTTTCCCCAGAAATCTATCATTTATTTTCAAGTCTGAAAACCTTTTCGGTAAACAGCTCTGCTTTCTCACCCTGGATCCCAGCAGACATGCAGGAGATGCTGCCCAGCACAGAAGCAGAGTCACAGCTTGGGCACTGTTAAATGAGCTAACAGTCAGAGAAGCGCCTCATTTGACTGAGATGTCATTTTTATTGCTCTGTGCTCTGACTCATTCGTGCTTTTCCCGCTCATTAAATGTTTATTCTCACTAGCAGTGCTTACTCAAAAAGTTTCGGCTATAAGATCACTCCCTGAAGGAAATCCATTTGCCTTTCAGATGCTGGAAGGCTCATTCAAATGCCCAAATGTATCGTACTAAGCTTCCTCCCAAGCTTGGTCATTGCGGCTGAGCTCCAGCAACTCCAAGTTACTCCACTGGTGGGGTCGGGAGAGGGACTTTGATTTAACAACTCATTATCTGCTATGTGAAATACAGCTGGTACCCCAGCCACCACTTGCTAAGGCTCTGTGAAACACAAGCCAGCCCCAAGGTCATTAAGAGAGTTGCTTGGGTGGACACTTGTGCATTCATCAGACATTTGAGGGCAGCAGGGACTTACTACACTGACAAGTTTTCATTTAGCTTGTAGAGCTTCCCTGAACCGTCCTTGCCCCTGAGATAGCCCATGTTGGCATGGCTGCTCCCAACTGTATCTTAAGGAGCTTTCACCCTCAGTCCAAGCTAAAAACAGGATTATGTCATGGGAGCAAGAAGTCAAATGCAGACAAATCCTCAAGGCGAGTTCACCTGTCCAAAAACCAGACCTCAGATATAAGCGATGTTCTTAAGGCTCCATCTGTACTTTATAGGGAACCAGATGCTTGGAAAGGAGAGGCATCTGAAGTGGATGGGATTCATCTTCCTTAGGACTGCATTTCTCCCTCCACTGACCAGGATCATCTTGAGACAGGTGGCTTAAGCCAGGTACATAAGGGGAAAAAATTAATTCCACCTTCAGTGCAGTACTTAAGCCATTTACCACCTTAGATCCTCTGAGCTGCTCCACCAGAGCTGACTGGAGCTGGTTTTGGCTGAAAGAAGCATCTCTGCTGTCCGAGGAGCCTGGACAAGCACATCCATGTCCTGGCCAACCCTGCTACACCAGACACCTGCTAATGAGCATCACAACCACCGAGCCAAGCACCGACACCACAGGGGCTACACGTGATCCTCACTGCTTTCCTGCCTGCTGCTCTGTCCCACTTGCACAGCAATGTGCTGAATATTAACTTGGTCTTTATCAGGGGAAGGTATTTACACCTCTTGTCCTTCACCTGCTCAGGCTGGAAGGTCTCCTGGTCAAGGACCATCACTTCCCATAGGTTTGTATAGCTCCTCACACAGCAGGGTGGCAGCCTGCTGACACGATCACGGCTTTTAAAATCTGTCCTAAACTTAGGAATACACCACCTGATTTTTTTCTTAACAACCCTCTGTGCTAAAATACAGGTTAAAAAAACCCAGGGATGAAAATCTGCACAAGTCCACTGTTTCCATCCCATTACTTACATAAGCTTAAAAATGGTTCTCAATGTCACATCCAGCTGCTGTGACGCTGCTGCCACTCTCCCATTTGCTCACTCCTAGATTTGATGAAGGCAGCAAGGGGAAAACTGCTGTTTTTCGCTTCAATGCCCCTGGATTTAATGCAGGCAGAATAACTCCAGGAGCAGCCCAGGGACCCTAGACATCTTGACGTTAGAGGCTCAGATAACCACACTCTTCTCCCACCTCTTGAGCACCACAGTAGCTCTAGCAAAATCTCTACTAATGAACGAAGCGGTGCCAGCCAACATCTCTGGGTGCTGGAACCCAACCATGGATCCCATTAAAGCATGGGATTGGTCCCTGCTGTGTTTTGGCCCAGGCAAAGGAGCTCTCTGCCAAGTGATGTTCAGGCTCGGTTTGGGAGTTAGCACAGGACAAGGAGTTTCCCAGCAGCAGTTCGGTTGCAACCACCCTATTTTGGAGGGTGAAAGAATTAATAATATGGAGGACATTGCCCTTCTCGATTCAACCTGGTGACTGAAGCACCAGTATTGTGACCATCTCTGCTTCTCCCGAACCCGTAACTTGGCAGACGTGGAAGATGAGCTTTCGTTGTGCAAAACCACCTCAGTCCAGAAGCCTGCTCTCCCCAGAGGCTGTCTTGGGAGCTCACAGGAGAAGACCGTCATCAAGCACAGTGGGAACACAATGGAATTCTGCTTACCAGAAATGCTGCGAGCAGAGCTTGCACTGAAGCGCTGCTTTACATTTCCGCAACCCCAGCCAGACACGATCTTAGTGTCTCCTAAGCAAGGACAGAGTTCTGCAAGATCTCCCCTTTTCGTTCTCTCCCTTAGAGGAGGTTCACCATTACAGTCCTGACGGTAATTGTGGAGAGGGGCACAAAGATGGTTAGACCCCGCATTGCCTGAGCCATGCCAGAGCACCCTGCATGCCTCCCAGCAGCAGGAGGGCTGCAGCAAGAAACCTCAGCTATGGCACTGCCACACGAGTTTACACTTAAAACCATCAAGCTCCTACCTTTACTTTTTCACCGTTTATTTCCACAGTTTTAATCATAAAGTCAACCCCAATCGTGGCTCCTTGACCTGGTGGGAAAAGCCCCTGAAAGAAAACAAGAGTTTCATTAAGCAAATTTCTGTAGCAAGACAAAACTCTCTGGGTGCCGATTCTCACCCTTTTCCATCCTCAAAACTATTCCTCCCTTGTCCCCTTCCCTGGACGCTTACTTCCATCACATTTAGAAATTAACATGTGACATTTCCCCTGCACAAAGATTACCGTAACTCAACCCCACAGTGTTTTCCCTGCCTACATGTCCCTAGTCATGTAGCAAGTCATTGACTTCAGAAGTAGGAAAACAGAAGAAAAGGAGGACGCGTACGAGGGAAAAAGGGGAAAAGCCCTTATGCTTCTGTGCAGTTGGGAAGAGGCAGGGGAAGGGTAAATGCGGACCCTCCATCCTACTTCCCAATGCCTTAAAAGAGGTGTGAATGCCTGCGTGGGATGAGAGCCTTTGCTCCTACAACCTCATGCCTTCCCTCTCCCCTCCACCACATGCCACAGGTTGGAAAAGCATTTCTGGCAGCTCCCAGCACCGGGGTCACATCCCTGCACAGCGTTTTGGGAGCAAAGCACGGAGCCAGCCACTACTGGTGCCAGAGCAATGGCAAGGGCCGGCATGATGCTGGTGGTTATGAGATTGCAGCACCATCAGAAAGGAGCAATAGCAAACCAAAAAAGAAAATAAACAGAGATTTTTGATTTTGGCCTAGGTCTACAAAGTCATGCTGATTTTGGGCCATATCCATCCCCTACAGCAGCTGCACTGCCAAAGCACAAGCAGCAGAAGTAGCCGCAGATTTTTGTGGTTAACCCTTTGGGGTTGACTGGCTCTATTGCCACTGCTTGTCACATGCGCTTGGGGAGTGTTTAACATCACCATGGCTTTAAAACCAAAATTAAGAGTGAGGGGGAAAACTACTGACAACTCCTAGAGGAGAGTGCAACAAAACCCCCCCCAACTTATATTTTATAGTGCATCATGCATAACCTCTTGCCCTGGATCACAGAAGCATGGTCCTTCCCCTGTTATTCTGCCACAAAAAAAGGACTTGTGTTTAACAGAATACACTGGACTGACAGCCCAGGACCCAGATTATTTAATTATCTACTAATGACAAATAACAGGGAGAGCTTTGTGCAGCAAGAGATGAGGAGGAGAAGGCACATAGGAGCACACCAGGAGACGTGCTGGTCCCTACAATCGGTCCAGAGTACCTCCGAATCAGGAGGAGTTGTCCCAGCAGTTTTCAGAGGGGACTTTCCATCTTCAGAGAGGGATAAGCTTTCTCCAACACGAGATCCCCAACAGTGCCAAGGAGAGCATTAGATACAGATGTGCTGCTTGTGCCCATATGTCACTATAGGTGATGCACACACCAAGAGTGTGGACAACAAAATGCTTTGGAGCTGTGATGCTGGCAGAGCCCTTGGTGCACAGCCACAGGCTCCATGCTCCCGTCCCAGTGCTGTCCCATGTCCCACCCCGAGGTCCCATGTCCAAGAGGCGGCCAACCTTACCTGAGTGAAGCGACGGACTAAGCAGGTCTTCCCCACACCGGCGTTGCCGATTAAAACAATTTTGAAGAGGAAATCATAATCTTCCATACTCATTTACGCAGCTGCAAGAGACAGAGTGTGCAACACAGTGTGAACCAAGGCGGTGGGGAAATGCCCTTTTATTCCTGCTGCACTTTATGCCTCCAGATATTCAGAACAAAGGTCTCCTGGCACATGCGTGGCTCCTCAGATAAGGGAGAAGAGCCCTCCCCACTCCAAGCCGGGGCATCCACATAGTCCAACATCAGCTGCTGCGAAACCTCAGCCACATTTTGGCTGCCCAAGAATTACAGACACTGATTTTCAGCTTTCAAGCAATGCTCCACAAACCTGAGCCACCATTTCCTAGATGTCCCCAAATGTTTGTTTCGATTTTAACCACATCAGCTCCAAAGGACAGCATGGACTTTGCCACATTGCCTGAGGGGATCGCATAATTTATTTCTGTTACGGCAATACCCAGAAACCCCTCATGAGCTCCTCCAGGTGGGCACCAGGTACCCACAGACCAGGGCTGGGGCACACATGAGGGCAGAACAGATGGGAAAATTAAAATAATTTTAAAATAAAAGCAGCAGCATTTGCCTTAAAGACAGAAAGAGCTCATTTGCTAAAATAGTACTGGGGAGTGGGGTAATAGCTTGGCTGAAGTACATTAAGAAAAGTTTTTAAAAAAGACGAAATAGATGCTAGTAGGAATACTGCTACTACTACGATCATTTTCTTTAGTTGTGTGAGGATAGCTTGCTTGGCGTAGAGCTCAAATGGAAAGTGAACAGAGAGGAGCCTGGGGGGTACCCAGCACACATCACCCCCACCAAGTCCAATCTCCTTGGCAGGATGCAGAGACCGATGTTTCAGCAACGCCACAGGAGATGGGCAGGGTTGCCTACACAGGGGTAGACCTACAGGGCTTAAGTCACTCGAAGTATGGGAAGGACCAAACAAATAAATGTAGAGTTTGCTGTGACTGAGCAAGGCACGAGGGATGAGTATCCACATCATCTCCAGTGCACCCAAGGGTGCCGCCAACACCATGACCAAAGAAGGGGTCTGTAACCTTTGAGAAAAGCAACCACAGCCAGAAGAGACTCAGTTAGAGATTTTAGGCAGACAGAAAAACCCACAGACAAGGGAGAGAAGGGCAGCGTCCAAACCCAGCTGCATCCAGGAGGATCTACATATTATACATGGCATCAGAGACCTGTCCTCATGACTGGGCTGGGGTAATGGCATAAAAGACATCAGTAAAGAAACAGATTTACAAGCCGTCAGTTGAGATACCAGGTAAGGCAATACCTAAGCATCAGTACCTAACCCACCAGTACATACAGATTTGGCACTGGACAAGGAGACAAAGCAAAGATGGGAAGCATAGGAGACGGGTGAGGAAGAAGAAACAGTTTTATGAAATTGCTAACCTCAGTAAAGCCCCAGATTACTCAGAGGGTTTTTACAGTGCTGATAAAGGGAGCAAATGCAGCACAGGTGAAACAAGCTTCTCATGCTCAACCCAAAGGCAGGGTGCCCTCTCCTGCTGCCTCCAAAGGTCCTTCCTTGGGAGGGTGCATTGCCACACACCAGAAGGCCCCAGCTACAGACTCTGGTCCTGCCATACAGCTGTGATAGGCTCATGGTCAAACAGCCAGAGAGTACAAGATAAAACTGAGACAGCCTGGGTCTGCCTGGCAGGGTACACAGAAACAGCTCTCCAAGCACCACCAAGAGCCTGGTGGACCTGAAGTCAGACAAGGTGGAAGACTGAGTCACCTGCTTCATGTCTGTGAACCTTGGCCTTTCCAGCAGCCTAAAAAAAGGGTAACCACACCAATTAGTGACTAATGATCTGCATCACATCAGCAGATGGTTAGCAGAGACACAGCTGAGTCACTACACACTGATATGTCACTTTGCCTGGGCCAGTGATGCAGCACAGCACTTGCCCTGCTTCTGCTCTGCTGAGCTGGAGCTACGGTCCCCTGCAAAGTGCCAAAGAGCAGCAGCTGGAGCTGTCCTGAGGATGCTCTAACCTCACCTTGCTCCGGCACGCAAGACCTTGCGGCTCCCTCCTATCTTTTAATACAGTGAAAGAGTGGGACCTTAAAGAGCAGCCTCAAAAAATGCCCTTTTTTATTTTCTGGGGGTTGTTATATTGTGTAATCATTTCTTATCTCCGTGCCTGGCTTTCCCAGAGTGGGACTGGATAACGACAACAGTATTAAGAACATGTTGACAGTGCTCTTACAATAAAGGCTAAATGTTAATATATGGTTTCAAGCTTTCACACTAGCCAACATGAAGAAAAATGTGATCATCCTCTAAAAGCTATTTCAAGACTAAACGAGACTTACTCAGCACTGGATAATTATCCCTGGGATGCTTCAAATCCCAGAGGACACTGCTCCCCCTGGAAGGATTTCAGTTCTATTACTTGTCTCCTAAACAATCCAACATTCAAATTTATCTTCTCAGGAAGCTTAAAAATAAACTTCCTCTGCAGATCTTTGAGCTCAGAAACACTAAATGGCTCAGACGTACCCTAGAGTTATGTCTGATCCCCTTCATTAGGCTCCAGGACTAATCATATGTGATAATGACCCCAAACAGCAACTGGAAGATGAGCCAAGGCCATAAAACAACACGACGATGAGATTAAATGCCAGAACTGAAGACGCGCAAAAAGCGGGGGCACAGGAGGGGAGAAAGAAAAGGAAGCAGCAAGGAAGAGAGAGAAGTGATTTGGGAAGTGGAGTGGGCAGGTGAGGTTGACCCTCGCTGCCCTATCACCCCTGTTTGCCCAAACTGGTGTTTCTCCCTCTGATGCGCACACACGCTAACCCACCACGCCGTCAGCACTGACCACAGAAACGTTGCATCAGTCACCCTTACGAAATCTTCTCCTGCAAGCCGAGCCTTTCAGCCAAGTGACCTTTGCTGCTGACTCAGGCTCACGCATCCCTCCCTCTCCTCAGGGAAGATGTGTCTCAACCTCTGCCCGGCTCGCCACGGCTGGGGAATGTGCATTGCAGCAATACAGCACACTTTGAATTACATGCTAAAAAAAAAAAATAATGCAGTATGCAACTTTTTTGTTTGTTTTTGTTTTCTTGGGGGGGGGGGGGTGTTTGTTGTTTTTTTCCCCCCGTTTTCTTGTGTTTGCAGGCACAGGGCTCTGCCTTGCATCCCTGCCATGGTTTAAAGTGTTAGGGCCACAGCTGCCTGTCCCACCCTTTGGCTGAGACAAGACCCTGCAGCAAGGGCAGGGGATGGGATGTCTGTCCATGGCCCAGGCACCCCTCACCATGTTTATTTAAACCACAAACAGGGCTGGCTACAGCACAGAGACATGCCCTGTCATGAGATGAAGCAGAAGCAGAGCCTGAGGCTGGTAGCAGGGCAGAAAATTGGGTTTCGCAGCCATTTTTCCCAGGGACAGTTTTTACAGCTCGCATCCCAACCAGACCCCCGTGGCTCATGAACCCCCTGGGCTGTTCCCACCAGCCTCACAGGGGAGCAGTTTTGCAGGGTTTTATTTTATTTGTGTCGCTGCTCCGCTCCACTCTATCACACAGCCCCATGCACAGTCACTGTGGGCAGGAACAAGGGGCAGGGAGGGGTAAATCAAAGTGGGACCACCACCTGGAGAGTGATGATGGAGGAGAAAGACTACTCCCACCTGCTTCTCCTGTTCACCACAAGCCACAAGGCAAGGAGTTTATCCACAGTAAACACATGCTTCAGGGAATAAGATATCCAGATATGTTTTAAGTTTATTCCCTTACATGATGCCCTCTCCCTGCATTTGCTCCATTCACCCCTTAGTTCTCCCTGATCCACTTTGGTTTACTTGGGAGTGTTTATCATCATCTGAACCAATTATTTTATCTTTTTGCAGTGTTTTTTCACCCATTAGTTTGGATGGGCACAGAAGGTTCCTCTTCATCTCTGACCTGCTCTGACCATGCCATGCTCAGCCTCCTTGGGTACCAAATAAGTGGTAGAAACACAATACAAAGGTTCAAATACTACCTGGGAGACACGAATGACTTTGTAGTGGCCAAGTTCTCCTTGAAATGGATGAAACCACTATTCTGCCCATCCCTCATCAGCTTTTACACCAGCATGAGTCTTCACACAAAACGACCAGCAAGTATGAGTGAAGTTTTTAGCTGATAAAGAAATCTCTGGCACTTCACTCGATTTGTTTTGTCAAGGAGGAATTTCTACCTCTAGGCATGCTCAGAGCAGGCTCTATGGTGATGATTTTGCCCCAATTATTTTGGTTCCTGGAGCCAAAAGTGGAGTGGGATACTTCAAAAGAGCAAGCCTTTCTCAGTCAACCGCAAAGTGTGCCAACCTCTGCCTGTCTCTTACCCTCCCTGAAGATCACAAGATAACGCGTGCTCAGCAAACACGATGGACGGCCTTCATCTGAAGGAAAAAACCTTTCATGTCTAAAAGAATGTTTTGATGCCTTCATTTTAGAAGAACAAAACAGAAATAACCTGTTGTTTCTAAACCTCCATGGTATCTCAGTCCTCAGTTACAGGCGGAGGAATCATGGAGCAGGAGCTCACATCTCTGCAGGGCCAAGTGACAAGGGGAGCAGAGAGTGTGTGGCACATCATGGCATCACCTTCTCTCCCCACCAGTCTCACTCATGGGTTTTCACGAGCTGTAGCCTGAAGAAGCATTAGGCTTCGTGGGCATGTCCTGCTTACAAGCCATAGTTACAGGGCCACTGTCATCAAATCACAGCAGGTCAAATCAGAGCAGGCTTAGCACAGCCAGGTGATGCAGACCCATGCATGGCTATAGAATCATAGAATCATTTATGTTGGAAAAGACCTTTAAGATCATTGAGTCGAACCATCAACCTAACACTGTCAAGTCCACCCCTAAACCATGTCCCTAAGCACCACATCTACACATCTTTTCAATCCCTCCAGGGATGGTGACTCAACCTCTTCCCTGGGCAACCTGTTCCAATGCCTGACAACTGTTTTGGAGAAGAAATTTTTTCTAATATCCAATCTAAACCTCCCCTGCCACAACTTGAGGCCATTTCCTCTCGTCCTATCTCTTGTTCCCTGACAGAAGAGACCAGCACCCACCTCGCTACAACCCCCTTCAGGCAGTTGTAGAGACCGATAAGGTCTCCCTCAGCCTCCTTTTCTCCAGGCTGAACAACCCCACTTCCCTCAGCCGCTCCTCAGAAGACTTGTGCTCCAGACCCTTCACCAGCTTCGTTGCCCTTCTCTGGACACGCTCCAGCACCTCAATGTCTTTCCTGCAGTGAGGGGCCCAAAACTGAACACAGGACTCAAGGTGCGGCCTCACCAGTGCTGAGTACAGGGGGACGATCACTGCCCTGCTCCTGCTGGCCACACGATTTCTGATACAAGCCAGGATGCTACTGGCCTTCTTGGCCACCTGGGCACACCACTGGCTCATATTCAGCCGGCTGTTGACCAACACCCCCAGGTCTTTTTCTGAAGGGCAGCTTTCCAGCCACTCTTCCCCAAGCCTGTAGTGTTGCATGGGGTTGTTGAGACCCAAGTGCAGGACCCAGCACTGAGCCTTGTTGAACCTCATACAACTGGCCTCGGCCCATCGATCCAGCCTGTCCAGATCCCTCTGTGGAGCCTTCCTACCCTTGAGCAGATCAACACTCCTGCCCAACTTGGTGTCACCTGCAAACTTACTGAGGGTGCACTCGATCCCCTCATCCAGATCATTGATAAAGATATTAAACAGAACTGGCCCCAATACTGAGCCCTGGGGAACACCACTTGTGACTGGCCACCAACTGGATTTAACTCCACTCACCACAAATCTTTGTGCCTGGCCCAGCAAAGTGCTGGGTAAAAACAAACAAACAAAAAAAACCCCAAAAAACCCCAAACAACAACAGCAAACAAAACCCAAAACTATCCACAGCTGCAAAGGCTTCTCCACATTTAAGGATAAAGACCAAAATTATATTAATCCAGAAACACTGATAATTTGCACCTCAGCTCTATCCCACCTCAATTCCTCATTTACAACCTACTGCTTCAATTAGGCACACAGAAGGGTCTGCAGCCTTTTCCACCTGCTGGAGTTAACCAGTAAGTTAGGGTGGGTTTTGATGTATTTATACAGTTCTTAATGAACAAGTATTTTCTGTTCTTCATCATCCAACAGCTATAAACAAAAATAAATTTACCTAAACATCTCAAGTTCAAACAGCAGTAGTTATGCATACAGATATTACATTGATTGCACATACCATATGAGCCAGGAAATTCAAAGCTAAGGCTAATATTTCAAGCAGAAAATTATTCCTTGCGGGCCAGAAAATTGCAGGGAACTTGGGTCTGGACATGCTGCTGCATTACGTAACTCAGGATAAAATATTTTCATTTCCAAAGCACCTGCCAACCCAAGTGGGCTCCTGCACTCGGCAAGCGCGAGCCCAGCTCATGCCCCTCTGCACACAAGCAGCCTGGACTTCCTTCTGCTCCCTTGCCCACCGTCCTCACTCCTCCTCTCTACAAGGTTTAATCTCACTTCCATCCACACTGGAAAAATGAAAAGACTTCATCCCCACGAAAGCCTGGATCACCCACGCCTCTGCTGCTGGTGGCAAAGCCACAAGCACACGGTATCCACGCTTTCAGCTTGGTGCAACATTAAAACTCCAGGGATGTCCTTCCCAAATTCAGGGGAGAAAGATTTATTGCAGGCACCTGGGGTTGCAAAGCCCAGCATTTCCCATCTTCTCCCATCACACTTGCCATTCCAGGCAAGCAATATCCAGCTGCCCGTGCACTGGCAATCCTAAACATGCCTCTTCATCAAGGATGGTCCCTCATAGGAAGGGAGGTCCTGGGTGCAGAAACACTATGCCTCCAAGTGAGATTTTCCAGGCAGAAACACAGCAGCTTTTATCCTCACATGCATCACCTCCAAATAGTGCACACACCTTCCATGGTGCATTGGGCTTGCCATGTGCTGACACTACCACTGATAAATTCAGACTAAAAAAGTCCATCCAACACTTCCAGGAGGCATCAAGAAACTACGCACGCAGTGCAGGGAGGTGTGGGGCTTCCCCGTGCACGACAGCCCCATCAGCATTCATTGGCTGACCAGCTGCCAGTCATTCAAAAGTCTAGACACATTTGAAAAAAAAAAAAAGAGCAAATTGCATCCAAACTTTCCAGCTGGAAAAAGCAGTATGTTATGAAAACCTCAGCCCTACCCTATTTGGAGAGATTCCTGCTCCTCAACCCTTAGCTCAGGATATTTCTCTTACAGAAATCAAGCGAGCTGAGTAGGTACAAGTTCTCATGTACCACAGCTATGTTTTATCTTGCAGATATATTTCTATAAACAACAGAAAAGCTAAAGCTGAGGGGGTTTGCATCAACGACCACACAGAGCACACAGCCCTTCCCCTTACCTCTTTTGCCACCAGTGAAAATTCGCAGCTCACTGGACTACTTTGATCAGGTCATGGCTCATACATTAGTTGGCCTTGAGGAGCTTGTGCAAGTGCTGCGGAAGAACCCACTGACCGATGATTACAGGCTCTTCACCATAAAACCAGCAGGTAAATCCAGCACCAATAACATCCCAAGGAAGAGCCTGGAGCAGGAGCTCTGCTTTACTGGGCAGAAGGAGCTCAGGAAAGCAGGATGCTCAGCTGTGATGCCCTCACTCAACACAAGAAGGTCCAGCCTTGCCACAGCCCGTGGCTGGACACCAGCTCTCCTCACTTCCAGAGATAACTGACTGCAGACTGCCCTCTTCATCTGCCTGCTTTGCTTAACGGTGGAGGTTACAGATCTCACAGTCAGGAGCAATCTTTGGATTTTCACATGTTCCTGGCATCCCCTGATGGTGAAAAGGCTTTGTGTCCATGCCGTCTAC